GGTGAAAAAATATGTCGATATGTTTACTGATAAATGACATGTTATTTATATTAATTTAAATTTGTTATTAATTTGTAATTAATTTCCATAAGTTTAAAATTAAACGGTTTTAATATTTTATGTTTTTTTTTATTTTACAGATGAAAACCAATGTGAAAGTATAACTAATTTAACGGAAAATTTTTTCTACATAGAAATGATTCATAAGAAAAAATGGTAACCATTTTTTTTTTTTTTTTTAATTGCTTCGTTATTTAATTTAATGATGAAAACTTTAAGTTGCAAATTAAAATTAAATTTAAAAATGTAGGATATAATTTCAGTCTTGTATAATTTTTTTTGAATTAAAACAAACGTTAAAATAAAAAAAGTAATATATATGTATATATTTTTATAATAAATAAATTAATCAGTCAATAATTAGTTAAAATTTAAACTACTTAAAATAAAAAATAATAATAATAAATGATTACCTAAAATAGTGAAAATATTAAAAACTTGTGAAATTTAAAACAAATGTATGTATGTATGAAATAATAATTTTTTTTTCAAGCCCTATTACTACCTTCTACTTTTTGTAATTTTAAGTCTTTGGTTCCTTTAGATTTTGAAAATGGTTGTTTGGAAAAATTTTCTCCATCTGCTATTGTTTCAGGTAGTTTTCTGTTAAGAGTTTCCGGTAATAGCAAAGCAAGACCTCCAGCTAACAATGCTAAACCACCGAAAATAAGAAGAGGAAGTGGTCTCCAATAATCCGCCTTTTTATATAAAAGATTTTAAAAGAAATTTGACATGAGTAATTCAAGTTCGAAGAGCGTTTGTTTGATTAAGAAATGAATTTTTTAAGTAATTACCAGAAGATTGATATAAGGAGCTAAAATTCCTCCTATTCTCGCACTCATTGAACAAGCTCCCAATCCAGCATTTCTAATTACAGTAGGAAATTGTTCGGTGCTGAAAACGTAAACGGTACCGTACGAAGATGTAATGGCTAATTTGCCAATCATTGCCAACACAATGGTCAACCAATTCATATCTAAAAGAACAATAAGGTACAATTAAAACAGGTTTAAATTTTTCAAAAATTTAAATTAAATACTAACGTGAAGGTACAAAAAGTGTAGAGAGAAGAGCTACTCCTCCAATAAGAAGAGCGCCACATAGAGTGAATTTTCTTCCGAAACGATTTAATGTAAAAATCAATATTCCATATCCTGGAAATTCCATAATACCAGAAAGACAAAAATTGAGATAATCGTTTCCTCCTAAATTTGATGTACTCCATGATAATCCATAGTATGCCAAACTATTTACAAACCTAAACGAAAAAAGGTGAGAATTTTATTTAATAGAAATTAAAACAACAACATCGTCACTTTATCAATTTAAATTTTATTACGTCATTTACCAATTAAAAAATATATTAATACTTCTTTTTCTCAAGCTTGGATGTCTCATGAGATCTAATATACTAGGACGAGGAGGTTTGGCTGCGGTCGTTTCTTTGTAGGGTACGTCTCCATTTCTTTGTCTTATTTCATAATTATTACATTCTTGCTCTAAAATTTGTTTTTTTTCTTCTGCTGCTTTTTCTTCTAAAGTTTCAGCCGCGAGTAAATTGTCCAACATGTCTTCAGTAAGTCTTACTTTATTTTCTTTGGCTGCTTTCATTAGAATTTGTTTAGCCTCTGCGTGTTTTCCTTTGGTCATTAACCATCTTGATGATTCTGGAATGACCCTTGTAAAAGAACATATTAAATTTCGATAAAATTTTTAATAAAAATTTTAATTAATTTTTTTTTTTTTTGTTTTGTTTCAGTCAAAAATTTCAAAATCCTTACCACCAGTAGGATATAAATAAAACTCCGGGAACTAAAGTGATGACAACTTGAAAAATTCTCCAGCTATCTTGAATGGCATATGCAAAACCAGCGATTAAAAGGAAACCGATGGAAAAAAACATGTGAACTATGGTTCCAGCAAAAAGTCTTTTTCCCGGTCCGACCATTTCCATGGCTAATTTTTTTTTCAACCCGAAAACAAAGAAGCAGAAAAATGAATCGAATAAAATTAACTTCTGCGTAATTTTGGATTCATTTAATTAATTACCGATGACATAAGCCACCAAAAATACTCCAGAAGTTGTAGCTCCGATCAATATTCTCGCCAAAACGAACGTAATATATTCTGGCGCAATAGCTGCAAGTAAACCTGCTGCAAGCTGTAAAACTAGCGAAATGAAAAACGTTGGTCTTCGTCCAAAACGATCAGACAAATCTCCGAATATATAGGAACCTATTAAAACGCCTGTCATAAAAAGAGAATCGGCTGTTGCTCGAAGCCATGCTCTATCACAGACCAGGAGGAACTGAAAATTTAATTGAACAAAAGGTTCAAATGTTTTTTCGTGAGGTAAATAAATAATTACAAAAATTTTTTTTACTCTACACGCTACTGGATTTGTACTTGGATTTATCAAAAATCCATTTATTACATTCTTTGGTTTTATTAGCAGATATTCCTTCTTTGAAATAAGATTCCGAATAGTTTGTATCGTACATTTTACAAGTAGACCATGTTTGAGAAAATCATCCCACGGAATGCTTAAATTTGAACGACGGGGAAAGTTCATAAGTTGCATTGTCATATTCGAATGGTAACTCGCACCTAAATATTTTTTTTTATTTTTTTTTTATAACGAAAACATACAAAAAAAGAAAAACAAACTATTTTTATTGTTTTAGTTTATATTTACCTGTGATTTGGTTTTGCACCTAAAAACACTCCAGCTAATTTGTGAAAAGCGCAAGGTATTACGGTGAAACATAAAAGAAGGTATATTCTTTTTTGGTATCTTCCAAATTCTCCTAAATGTAAAAGAACATCATCATATGCCATATTGTGAATTTCCGCCAAAGGGATTTCTTGGAGTCCGTCCTCGGAGGCGGATTCAATTTCCGTTACCGGTAACTAAAATACATATATTTTAAAAAATTTACCAATTATCGAAAACGCATAATTTATAAGTTCGCGAACGTTAAACAAAAAAAACACGATAAAACAATAAACCTCCTAAAATTTATACCTTATTAAAATACCTCCTAAAAAAACACCGTCTTCTTACCTTATCATTCATATCATACATCCTCAACTTATCATTATTACCACTAAAATTTTTTTCAAATATTTTCATTCCACTTTTAAAATTTTACACGGATTTCCTTTCATTTTCATATTAATTAAAAATTTCGTTTTTTTTATTTTGGCAAAAAAAAAAAAAAATTTAAAGATAATAATAATTATCGTTCGTTTAAACCGTTACCAATATTTTTATTATTATTATTATTATTACTTTTTTTTTTATGTGACATTTTCAAAAACCGATAACCATTTTTTTTTTTTTAAATACGATATTTGTATTTCTACAAAAGCGAAAAAATTATTTTTACTCAACCATATTTATCGATCCTTTTTGGTAAAATTTTTCATTCGACACCGAGCCTGCGCTGTTGTGGTAATTACCAAAATGATATTAATGTTATTATCATTATTGTTTTTATTATTTATATTAATTTTAATTTAATTATTTACTTATTTATTAATATTTTATTTTATTTTACGTATGATATTACGACAGGGAATTTATTTATTTATTTTATTTAAAATTTGTGAAAAAAATAGATTTTCAATATAATAATAATAATAACTTAATAATAATAATTCGCGCTCTTATCATATGCAAAAATAAAAATAAAAAATCATCAAGGTTAAATCATTTATTTTTTAATTAATAATTCTTAGGACAAAAAAAAAAAAGAAAAATTTTTTTAATGTTATTTTTTTTTTTTGTTCTTTCAGGCGATATTTTCCACATTCGAATGTGAATTTTCCCCGAATGGGGGGGGGGGGGGGAAAGAATCACGACGTCACGACACTCGAGATTTTAAATAATTTTCAAAGCGTAAAAATCGTGCTTTTAAGGTAAAGTTATAAAATTTTTATATATTTAATTAAAACAAAAAAGTTATACGAAATACCTCTTCACGTATTTAATTTAAGAAAAGAGAGAGAGAGAGAGAGAGAGAGAAAAAAAAGGTCAATAAAAGTAAATGGGTTAAAATTCACTTGAGGACGTTTAAAAAAAAAAAAAAAAATTATAAATAAATTACATATTCTGAATAATAATTGTCTATGAATGACATTAGGTCATATCGATTAGAGATTTTTAAACGTGAATATGTCATACTAATAAACGATAATAATAATAATAATACATCTTGAAAAAATTATAAATAATTTTTTATTTAATTTATTATTATTATTATTCACTTGTGATCGTAACAACGGTAAAATTATTTAATTGTTTTTAATAGTGTAAGAGGTAACAATAAATAACTCATTTCACTTAAAAAATTTATTGAACTTGTCAACAATGTGTTTTAAATACATTGTTGACAAATTGATTCCACGGATAGAGTGATTAAAAAACAAACAAGGTCTGACAATAATTTAATTTTTCCTTTTTTTTTTTTTTATTTTACAGTTGAAAAACGAAAAATAAAAATACAATTAGAAGAACGGAATGAAAGACAAACAACAACAATAACAACAAACGATGAATACCTTTACCTGATTTCAACTTGATGGTAAGTTTATGTATATATATATATTAAATAATTTAAAACTCTACATCAGCTGATTTCCAATTTTGACATAAACAACAACAACAACAACAACAACAACAACGTTGTTGTTGTTGTTGTTGTTTTCATAACGAACAAAAAAATTTATTCGCGTAATATTTAATAAACCTCGTAATAGTAATTGACAATATAATTTAATCAATCGCGTATTTTTTATTTTTATCAGCAATTATAAGTTCATTTATTGATAGGCAAAAAAAAATCGATTGATCGATCACGCGATCGTTACGTTAGTTACATAAAACACTTCACATTATTATTATTATTATTATTATTATTATTATTATTATTATTATTATTATTATGTTTTTAAATAATTTAAATTGATAATATTAATAAATAAATAATTTTTTTATTACCGAGAGAAAAAAAAAATTTCGTTGCGGTCGTTATAAATTTTTTTTTTTTTTTAAAATCAGCAATTTTTATATAAAAAATTGCCAACTTGTGAGTATAAATAATAATAATAATAATAATTTTAGCTTACCAACTAGCTTTTCAACGACTACTACAACCATTTATCGACCTTGCTTATAAATATTAATAATAATAATAATAATTTTTTTTTACGTACATATTTTTATGATGTAATAATATTACGATGTGAATTAACAAACAATTATTTATTATTTTTTTGCATTATATTAAAACGTATTTAAATAAGAATTTTATTTTATATATTACTTACGGCGGATAAAAAGTAAATTTTTGTTTGTTTCCCCCCACCCCCCATTTATTTATTACGGTTATATATTTAATATCATTTTCGTTACCATTTTAGTATTTATTTATATTGAGAATAAGGAAATACATAACCCTAATAAGTATTTATTTATTTATTTATTTTTCTTTTGGGGGGCATTAACAAATGGAAGTACAACAAACGTTACATTTTTCAAATGGATAAAAAGGTTTATAAACATTAGAAAATGTCAACAACAACAACATTCTACAAACACAGTTAATACAGTTACTTGTGTAACTAATCCAATAATAATCATTATTATTATTAATGAGATAAAAATATTAAATGTTAACAACTTTTTCATTCCCCCCCCCCCATAATTAATAATCATTTATAGTTATTATTATTATTATTACCATAAAATGTGTGAAGTGTTTTCTTTCTATAGGATAAAATCAATTTAAAGTTATAAGTTAAAAAAAAAATTTTCTCACATTAAAGAAAATTCTGGAAAAATTTTTATGGCGTTAAAGGGAGGAAAAAATTAATGAACGAGGGCAAATTTACGAGGTTTTATTACAAATAATAATAATAATAATTGTAGCGATGTATTATCGTAAAGACAAAAAAAAAAGATTTGGGATATTTTTTTTTGTTCTATATTTATATACAAGTTTAAATATTTGTATTGTCGTTGTCATCATAAAGCGATAATAAACAATTTCGGTCAGTTTGTTTGTTTTATGTTTCTATTTATATATAAAAAAGGATATCGACCAAAAAAAAGGGAACGACCAAAACCATACTGAACATAACAAAGGCCTGTTATTAAATTATAACAAAAGTCAAAATTGGAAATTCAGGTACAAATTGTAAGGTCGTAAGAAGGAGGAAAAAAAAAATTCACCAAATAACAATACGTGTTATAAAGAAGGTGAGAAAATTTTTTTTTCCTCCCTCCAAACCTTGCATAATAATAATAATAGTGATAAATTTTTTTTTTTTGTTCATTTAATCAAATCATTTTTTCTCGAAAAGAAAAAAAAAAATATCACATTTCATTCATTAATTTAAAACGTTTTCATAGTTCGTGGCGGCGGTGGTCATATTTACAAAAAAACTCCCCAAATAATAATAATAATAATACTTTATTTTCAATCGTTTTGGGTAAAAATTAATTTATAAATAAATTAACAAAGGACGTTGATCTTTCGGATTTCGGTTACTAAATATAAACTGTACGCCAAATAATAATAATAATAATGATTTAAAAACGTTAGTTAGACTTAAAATTATTTAGGGAAAATACGGAAGCGGAAAAGGATATAAAAAAAAAAAAAACGACCGTTAAATTTTTTTCTACACCGTCAAATAAAAAAATAACCGTTTTAGGAACGTTTAAGAATTCGACACAATTTAAAAAATAATTGAATTAATGGAGAGTTGTTTTGTTTTTGTTTTTAAAGAAAAGCTAAAAGTTGGATCCACTGACACAACAAACATTATTTTTAAATTTTTCATTCACGCGACATTATATCATTTCATTTTTTCTTATTAAATAATAATAATAATAAATTAATTAATGAAACACTCACTTGTTGTTAAAAATATTAAACCGTTCATGAAGATGTTGTAAGACGCGTCCAATTTCCCGCCTTTTTTTAATATTATTATTATTATTAAAAAAAAAAAAAAGAAAACTAAAATATATATATATATAAATGAAGAATATAAATCCAAGTAAATAAATATATAACCGAACAGAGCCTTAAAACGCGGACTGATTTTACTGGGATTATTTTTTTTCGAACGGTTCGCACATGCGCTTTTATATTTAATGACGTCACTTTTTAACACGTGTTTACTTTTGAATGACTTGTTTAAGTTGGATAAAAATTGTTAATTTTAGGCGCGTTTAAAATGACCGTTTACTATTATTATTATTATTATTATTATATTTTGTTTTTAATGCTTCTTTTATTTTTAAAAAAAAATTCATTTTTATTAATGACTTTTCTTTCTTGTACGCACGTGTACAATACGTACGAACGTACACGTTTATTTACTCATTCGTAAAATGATTTCCCGGGGGGGGGAGGGGGAAATACCTTAAACCGTCGTACCTAATCGATAAAAATAAAAAAACGATTGATGACAAAAAAAAAAAAAAAAAAAAACAAAAAATTTTTTTTAATTGACATAGTTTTAAATTTTATTTATCATTCTTTTAAATGACAAATTTATTTTTTTGTTCGTTCTTTTTAAAAATCTGAATAATTTAAATCTTGAATTATATCATCGCCGCCATCATCATCATTATCACTATCACCATTGTCATCTATGTCATAATCGTTATCGTCATTGTTATCATCATAATCATCATCATCATCATCATCATAATCCGCATCTTCATTGTCATTATCATTATCAAACTCTCCTGATTCTTCGTCGCCGTCGTCCTCCTCCTCCTCCTCCTCCTCCGAACCTTTCATTTTCATTTTTTTATTCTTTTTACCATCTCCTTTTCCTCCTTCTCCTCCTTTTCTTTTCTTCTTGGGAGGTTCAAGTTCTTCGTCGAACGTGACATCATCGCTAAAATAATCAATTAATTAATTAATTATTACGTTAAATCCTTTTTTAAAAGCAACGATGAATTCTCGAGTTGGCTTACTTGTCTGATTCGTCCGATGGGAATAAAACTGGGGGTCCTTCGGATGATTTGTCCGTTTTATTTTTTTTCTTTTCCAATTTTTTCAAAACCGGTAATTTGAAATCTCCAAGCTGGGGGAAAAAAAAATTATATAATAATAATAACTTATTTATTATTAACGGACATTTGAAAAGTTTTAAAACTTACCGTTTGATTGCTCGTGATTTTTCTCGCTTGCTGTTGCACGTGTATCTTTTTCCAACTTTCGTAAAATTTCGAAAAGGGTGTTCCTTTCGCTCTTATACCTGCTTCGACGGCGTCCACCCCTTTCAAATCGTTTATTTTCAAATTCACTTTTTTCCGTTCTCCTTCTATGAATTTTGAATTTTCCGATATTTTATCCACGATCGATTTTAATTTTTTATTGTAATTTGTATATTTACACGTTTTTAAAAATTTCTTTATCTATGTAAAAGAAAAACCAAAAGAAAAAAAAAATTTCCGTTACAAAAATCTTTAAAACTTTTCTTCTTCATTTCATAATTTTATGATTAGCAACGGTTTTTTTTACAATACCTGAATAACGGCGGGAACTGTCACGTCTGGAAAGCTTACTCTATGACATTCCGTTGCCAGATATTCCATTAACAAACTGTATATGTTCTCTATGATGGCATCTTTGAAACCGTTTTCTTTCATTTGTAATTTTGAACATCTGAGCAAACACGTGAAATCTAACGGTTTCACCGTTAATTTTTTATGTTCTCTTTTAAAATTATAATCCCGAAGAATCTGAAATATGTAAGTTTTTCGTTTTTCTTAATTAATAATTTTATTTCCAGAAATAAATGTAATGTAAATTGTCCGACGAACGAAGGAACGAACGCCTCACGGAATAACACATACCTCTAACAAATAGGGTAGTATAGGAATGAAGACGTCACATTTACTTCTAATATTAATGAGAATTTTACAACAGTGAAACCTTAACGGATAATACGCGGCTGAAGGTACGAGTTTTATCGTTCCTATAATTATTTGAACCAACGGATATATTAGAGAATTTAACGGCGAATCTTTCGGTACGATTCCAAATAAATCTGCCCATAAGTGTAGTGAAGAAATGTAAGCCCAACTGTAAACCATTTTATACGCTTCCTGCATTAATATAAAAACAAGAATTAATGGCCGATCGAGTCAATATGAAATATCGAATTAATCAACTCTGGACTAAAAGTTACCAACTTTTTTTTTCTGCGTTATAGCACTTCTTAAATGTATTGCTAATTGTCTAATGTATAAAAATACCATGTGGTAACTAATTGTATTATCTAAGGCAAACATTTCGCATAGTGACTGCCTCATGAAATTGATTCCAGGAAGGGAAGAAGGTGTCACGAACTTCGTGTTTCGAACGTACGTCATGTGCATGACCTAAAAATACAATAGAATTTTTATAAATACGGCGAAAGCAAATGGTAAAAAATTGAAGATTTACAACAAACATACTTTTAATGCTTTTTGTAACAAAGATGGACGAAGATTGGATAAACGGAGTATGCATAAAAATGCTAAAACTCTTATAACATCTTCATCTGTAGCCCAAAGTTGAATTATTCTTTTTAAAAATTTCGATGAGGCTATCGGAAAACATACAATAAATGGACACCATTGATGAATGTGTTTGAGTAAAACTCTTAACATGTTTGGTGACGTGACGGAACATATCTGAAAAACGGTACGTATTTATATATATAATCATGAGATTTTTTTTCATTTTTAAATCGAACCAAAAATGCAACAATACCTCTACTAAATCGAATAAATAATTTTTAACAAGAGGTTTAATTTTATTCCAATTTCTACATTTCGATGGATTCACATTTAAGTCTTTGATTCTTAGAAATTTTTTTATAGCAGGTAAGAAGTCTGAGACGCACATACGAATAATTGAATTAAATACAACACCTCCTTCGACTTTATAAACTGATGTATTGTCATTACCAGGTGAAACACTGGCTAGAGCTGCTCGAAATGCTTCAGATACATCTCTTAAATCAGGAACTTGACTATGGGAAAAAAAAAAGTTAGTTATTTAATGAATATTTATAATTTTTTTAAAAATTGTTTTAAACTCTACCATCTTGTTTTTAATTTTTTCTGCAATTCTGCTACTTTTTCTAATGTAATTTTATTACTTTTTTCTTTTCTCGTTTTGGCAACTTCAGGATCTAATTCATAATCACTGTCATCGCTAGCAATCTAAACCAAAAAAAAAAAAAAAAAAAAACATCAAACTTGATATTTTCATATATCATTAATTAATTTTTATTTTAAATTCATTCTCACTTCTAACTCATCAGGAGGTTTATGAACAGATTCTTTAGCATCATCACTTTCAACATCGGAATCATTGAAATTTAATAAATTTTCATCATTTTCTTGTAAATATTTATAAAATTCAGGATCCGATTGTTTTAAATTCATTAAATTTTTTTTATGACTTTCAAATTCATTACTATCAATACTTTCAGGATCGCTGTCATTTTCATTTTTATCATTTTCATCTTCAAAAGATTCATTTTCATTAATCATATCATCATCATCATCATCATCATTCCATTTTTTATTTACAAGACCATCTTTTTTTTTATTTAGTTTTTTTTCTGAAATTTAAAGAAAAAAAAAAATTAACATCATTTTTGAAAATTTGTTAAATTCTATAAATTTTTAAAAACTATTTGCCTTCAACATTGTTTTCATCCTTCATGAATCCCATAAATTCATCTACACTCATAGATGCTAATTTTGGACTTTTTAAATCGCTCATTTTTTTCTTTTTGGTTTTTAATAACTTGACCGGTTTCTTAACTTTTTTAAGTTTGTCTTTCATTTTTCCTACAAAAAAAAAAAAATACCTGTAACAGAATATACCTGAGATAATTATTTTGAGGTTGAAAAAATGTTTCATAAATTAATAACGTTCTCAAAAAATAAAAACGTATGAAGAAAATGAATGGTACGGTTGCTCGTGTAATTTACCTAGTTTTTTAATAAATCAATCTGTGAAAATTAATTATTAGTTAATTATTTTCAAAATGAAATACACTGTTTCAGTCCACAAGTAGAGAAGCCATGTGCATATTATATCTGTGTAGTTTTGTTAAGTTGGCCACATTGATATCAAACAAAGGAATGAGAATTGAAAATAGCCAGTGATATGTATCCTTGTATCGAACGCCTTGTTTAGAGTATATTTCGCAATTATTTCGGTGCGTTTCATCATTTTTTTCATCCACTTTATTCCTTATTAAATACGAATAAGGTAAAAAACAATATTATTCAAATGAAATTTGTAAAAAATGAAGGACAAGTTTGTTATGGCAAGTGATCAAAATGTCCGACATAAAAATATAAGAGATAAAATGGTAGTGAATGAAAAAATCGGAGCAAGTACGGAGTCAAAACCGCCGGATAATGAAGATTCAGAGTCGTTGGAAGAACAGCCTTTGGATATAGGAGAACATTATTTAGTAAGAAGAAATGATGAATCTTGGCGTAAGTTTTTTTCAACCGTTATATTTTTGGTTAGAAAACCGTTAAATTATATATATAACCGTTCTATTAGACAAAAATTAGAAAACGAGAAAAATTAACGTTTATAATTATTATTATTATTACAGATCCGGCTGAAGTTATACAAAGCAGATATAACGATCAAGAAAATCATTATGAGTATTACGTACACTACGAAGGTTTAAATAGACGTTTGGACGAATGGGTGTCCAGAGATAGAATCATGTCATCAAGGTTCGACCTGAATGAACAACATTGGAAAAATAATGATAAAAGTAACAAGGATATAACTGATGGTTTAGATAGGAAAATAACAAGAAATCAAAAAAGGAGACACGATGAGATTAATCACATTCAAAAAGTAAATTTTTATTAATATGTTTTATTTTAAAATGTGTTTATTTTAATTAAGCGACAAAATATTTTGAATTTTCAATAGACATTTGCAGAAATGGATCCGACTACGGCTGCATTAGAAAAAGAACATGAAGCTATAACTAAAGTTAAATATATAGATAAAATTCAAATAGGAAAATTTGAAATTGACACATGGTATTTTAGCCCTTATCCAGATGATTATGGAAAACAAACAAAACTCTGGATTTGTGAATATTGTTTGAAGTACATGAGACTGGATAAAACATTTAGATATCACATGGTAAACAAATTTTTTTTTTTTTTACCTTTAATCGTCAACTCATTTTACCCATTAAATAAATTATATTTTCTTTTATAGAGTGAATGTACGGCTAGACATCCACCTGGTAAAGAAATTTATAGGCAGGGAACATTATCAATATTTGAAGTTGATGGTTCCAATCATAAAATTTATTGCCAGAATCTTTGCCTACTAGCCAAATTATTTTTAGATCACAAAACTTTGTATTTTGACGTTGAGCCTTTTCTATTTTACATTCTTTGTGATTCTAATAAACATGGAGCACATCTTGTCGGTTATTTTTCAAAGGTACCAATAAATTAATTTTTTTTTCGTTTTAAATAATATAAAAAAATTATCAAGTGATTGATGAAAAAATATATTGATGTGCTTTTGAAAATGTTTTTCCAGGAAAAAGAATCTCCAGATGGCAACAATGTAGCTTGCATATTAACATTACCCCCTTACCAAAGGCAGGGCTATGGTAAATTATTAATAGCCTTTAGTTATGAACTTTCCAGACAAGAAGGAAAAGTGGGAAGTCCAGAGAAACCGCTTTCAGATTTAGGAAAACTTAGTTATAGATCTTATTGGTCTTGGGTTCTTTTAAACGAACTCAGGGATTACAATAGAGGTTGTATAACGATAAAAAATTTAAGGTAAGAAAATAACGGATTTTTTTTCGATAAATCATCATCATCATCATTTTACCTTGTTTATGTTATTGTAATCGGGAAAAAAATTCGTTTTTTTGCATTTGTCTCTTATCAGTTTAAAAACGTCAATATCACAAACGGATATTATTTCAACGCTTCAATCAATGAACATGGTCAAATATTGGAAGGGACAACACGTGATTTGCGTGACGCCGAAAGTCGTTGAAGAACATATAAAATCACCGCATTTTAAAAAACCTCGTCTCACCGTCGATCCGAAAGCAATTTTGTGGGCTCCATTGAAAAAATCAAATGCCAAAACTGGAGGGAAAAAATAAAAAATATGTGAAATAGTTCGTTCTCAATATTTATTTTTGTTTTTTTTTTTTTTTGTTTTACGCTTATGAAAATACCTCGAAATAAGTTTTTAGACAAAAAAAAAAAAACAAACACTGACTTTGTGTATGTGCGCGTTCGCGTGCAAAAAAAAAGAAAAAAAAAGTTTTTAATAATTTTCGATTTGATGTAAAATGGTTGAAAAAGTACATGGAGAAAATTTTTTTTTTTTTTTTTAAATTAAAAAGCCCGTAATGAATCGGAGCTCACGTTCGAAAATTCGAAATGTTATTCGTCTTTTTTTTTTTTTTTTTTATTTTATTATGTATACACACACATATGTATATACACACGTTTAGGGTAACGTAGTAAATAAAAAAAAGAAGAAGAATAAGAAGGAGGAGGTAGAGGAGGAGGAGGGGAGAGACAGAGAGAGAAAAAAAAAACCACAAACGATTCGTATGATATTTGATAAGAAAAAAAAAAGACAACGTGTGCAAAGTTGCATGGACATTTTATCATCACCTAATCAATGCCGGAACCCGTTCGCAGTAATGTTACATCACGAAAAAAGTAATTCGAAATATCAGGAAATAATAAATCAATTGGAAAATTATTCGAGAGTCTTCATATATTGCTTCCTCTCAGTAAAAATAATATATATTTTTCGATAATTACTCAAGAGAACATACGTATTTAAATAATAATAATAATAAAATTATTTAGGCCACGTAACAGGAAAAAGAGAGTATGTCATCCGTTTTGTTGTCGTTTGAGATCATCCGCACGTGGTTTAGACGTAACTTCATCCAATTCTCTCATCAGCGCCGGTTTCACATCCTTGGGATTGGCTTTTTTATCAGCGTTCAGATATACTCCATTAATATTATATTACCTATCGGATATATTATCAGAACATGGATTTAAATTTTATTATTATGCTTGTACGTTTACCATATTTGGATGGTCGGGGATTTTATTGATAACGTTAGTCATTTTTGGAATAATACTGTCGGTAAGTTTTTTTTTTTTTTATAAGATCTAACATAATCATTATCGCCATCATCATCATCATCATCATTTGTAGACAAAGTTGAATGAATGAATGAATGAACTCATACATCGCGACTGAATATTTCTTTTTCTCTCTTTCTCTTTCTCTCTCTCTCTCTTTCTCTTTAGTTTTCAACGAAAATAAAACACAAGGGAATACTTTTACTTCATCCTTGGTGTCTTCTCTTACTCTATTTCGACGTGTTCGTTTGGATCGGTTTGGATATAATTCTCGAACCCGTACTTAATGAAATATCCGATGAATTGGATGGACCATTTTATTATTTACTCGTTACCTACATAGACAACGCAATTTTTTTCGTTATTTATTGGGTATACGCAACGTATTTCATATTGGCCGAATTAACAATTATTGAAAATAATTTTAGATAAAAAAAACCCAACGAAACGTGATTTATACGGTGACGTCATTTTTTGTTGTTTCTTTCTCTCTTTTTTTTTTTTATTAATTTAATTTTTTCCATAATATATTTCCTAAAATTATTTATTTATTTATTATTTTCTTTTAATAAGAAATAGGATACATACATAAATAAATAAATTAATTAATTAAATTTTTTTTTCTTTTCATTTATTTATTTATTTTTCTTCTTCATTTATTTTTCTTTTTTTTTTTTTCTTATTCTTTACATTTTTATTACAATAATAATAATAATAATAATAATAATAATAATGATTATTTATCATTATCATGTTTTTATTATTATTATTATTATTAAGTTTTTTTTTAAAAAAATATTTTCTTTTTATTTAACTTAATTTATAAAAAAAAAAAAAAATTACATCATCATCATCATCATTTACTTTTTTTTTTTTTTTCACTCCATAAATATTATATATATATATATATATATATATATATGTATAATTTTAAAACGATATTTATTATTATTATTATTATTGTTATTATTATTACTGGTTGTTTTAATGGAATACAAAATAATAATAATAATAATAGTAATGATGATAATAGTAATAATATTACGAACGAACAAACGAACTTTATAAACTTTTTTCTTCTCTCTCTCTCTCTCTCTCTCTCTCTCTTCAAAAGTACTTTGAAATTCGTATTGTTTAAATCATTATCATCATCATCATCATCATCATCATTATCGTTATTAAAATTAATTAATTAAAAATAAATAATTAATCGTTTTGAAAACTAAATTATTAATTATCATATATATATGTACAACAAAAAAAAAAAAAATCGTAAGGATGTATATACCTTGAAAGTTTTTTTTTTTCTTCTTCTTAAAAATTATCAATCGATCAATCATTCAATCAATCATTCATTCATTCAATCATTCAACCATTCACTTATTTACATAAAAATAAAAAATGCATATTCCTCATAATACATAATAATCATCATCATCATCATCATCATCATCATTAATATAATGAGGTATTTTATATTAAAAAAATAAACCGCGGCACGTACATATATATATATATATATAAATTATTAAAAATAATAATAATAATAATGAGTGAATGAATGAATTTTTTTTTTCGTAACAACATTCAAAAAGGAAAATAATAATAATAATAATAATATTAATAATTTATTTATTTATAATCATGGCGTGAGTCGATTGACCGACGACTCTTATTATCAATCAATTAATTAATTAATAAGGCAGGCATTTAATAATTTTATTATTATTATTATTATTATTATTATTATTAACTATTCTATATAATTTTTTTTTTACTACCAATTTTGTAATGATTGATTGATTTTATTATCATCATCATCAAATGTATTTAAAAACCATACCTATAACTGACTAGATACTATTATTAATAATAATTCACGCAGTACACAAAAAAAAAAAAAAAAAAAACGATGGGGAGGATGGGGTGGTGGGGGAAAAGGGGGAGGGAGGGAGGGAGGTTTTTTGTACCTTATTTTTTTTTAAATGATTTTTTTTTTTTGTTGCCCCTATTCATTCACATAAAATATGACTTATTTTTAATAATATTAAAAATCCTATGTAGGCATTCGGTAATAATTTTTTTTTTTATCAATCGATAAAGGCACAAATTATTATTATTATTATTATTATTATTATTTATTAAATTACAAATTTGTTATTAGTAACTTTAAATGAGTTTAATAATTATTATTATTATTATTTTTTTTTATTTTGCGTGCCAACAACTTTCGCCATGATTTCAATTAAGTTTTTTTTTTTTTTTTATTTACTCTACAAATAGTCGAGAGTAAAATACTCTGGGGGGGGGGGAGGAACTAAACTAAAAATTTAAAAAAATAAATTTCATGAAACACATTATTTTCCTTCTCTCTCTCTTTCTCTCACGTTTAACTCTCTTTTTTCTCTATCTCTCTCTCTCTCTCTTTCTCTCACAAATTTAATTTTTTTTTTTTTTCTCTCTAAGGTATACAAATAAATCAATTTCTCTCTTTTTAATCTTTCTCTCTCTCTCTCTTCCTCTTCCTCTCTTCTTATTAAAATTATCATTTTAAAAATTTATCAATTATTTATTTCCTTTTCCGCTTCTTTTCGTTTCCCGCGCAAACCTTTCTTTATTTAAAAAAAAAAAAAATTTATTATTATTTTTTTTTGTTTACCAACACGTTTATTTATGTGTGTGTGTGTGAGTGCGCGGATAAATGATTTCAACGATACATTATTATTATTATTATTATTATTTTATTATATATCGATTCGTTGATAACGAACGGGTAACTTTTTTTGGCAACGGTGACTGTGAAAACGCAAACGTTCAATTTTTCGCCATATTAATTTTAATAATAAAATCATCACCATCATCATCATCATTATTATTATTAATCATTTTCTTAACCACCTCATTTTCTCTCTCTCTCTCTCTCTCTCTCTTTGTTTTTTTTTCTTTTTTTAAATTTAAATTAAATTTTGTACTTAAAATTAAATTAAATTTTTTTTTTTTAAAAATCATGTTTCACTTAAACATTTCTAATAATAATAATAATAATAATAATCGATTCTTTTCGTTTCTCTCTCTCTCTTTCTCTCTTTTTTTTTATACTTTCGTTACCGTCGTTTTGACACAAAACAACAGCAAATCAAATTACATAATAAAAAATATATATATATATATATATATGTATATATAATTTTTTTTTTTTTTTTTTTTTTTTTATAACCAAACGAAAATATCAAACTCATCATCATCATCATCATCATCATCATCACAACGAACGAAGGCATTTTTGCACGAATGTTTTATTATGGTATAACGACGACGACGACGTGAATCACCCGTTGTCGTCCTTCTCTTTATTTACCAAAATTCAATCGTGCAAGGTGCCATTAATTTTTTATTTTTTTTTATTTTTTTTGTTTTTTTAAAAAAAAAAAAAAATATCGAATCGTAAAATATTAATTGGCGAGAGGAAGAAAGAATGAAAAAAATTCAAATGAATGAAATGGATTCATCAACCGTCGCAGAGAATAAATTCCTCCATGTCGCTATCTTGCAAAATATGTTGTGACGAGGTCGAATTCTCGCCACGGTCCTCGCATCAGTCCGCGTACACAAGAAAAGGTTGATCCGCCATATCCGCAACTTCGACTTGAACGTACTGGGGAGAATCCATCGAAACCATTTGAGATGTCATTAAATTATGATGAGCTTGAGGATTTCGTCCGACGGCGTTTCGCGATCTGTGTCAAAAAATTTACAATTTTAGCGGGAGAGATTTAAAAATTTCATTCTGCTACCACTTCTACTACTGCTGCTGCTGCTGCCACTACTTACTTTGCTTTCGCGTGAGTGAGAATATGTGATTTGAGATTGGTTGATTGTGCAAATTTTTTATTACATCCGTCGAATGGGCAAACGTAGGGTCGATCTCCCGTGTGAATCCGTACATGCGTTCTCAAATTAAAATCCAAAGAAAATCTTTTACCGCAACCTTCGAATGTGCACTAAAAAAAAAAAAAAAAAAAAAATGTTCTTTAATAATATAGCGAAGAAATATATACAGTCGTTGTTGAACTTTGACCTTTAACCCCATACTCACTTGGAATGGCTTTTCACCCGTATGTACCAATTGGTGACGTTTTAATTTTGAGCTTTCTACAAAGGCTTTCCCGCATTCGGCGCAAACGTGTACTCTGGGACCGTGAGTGTGTAAATGTTTTCTCATAGCCGAATTATCTCTGAACATTTTATTACAATCTGAAATTACAAACAGTGAGTAAGTGAATAAATTCATTGTTTTAAATGGGGGGAAACTTTGGAGTCTGAACTTACCTTTATGGGGACAAGCTATAGTTCGATCCATAACATCTAGTCTTTCTTTTTTTACTTTGATTTTGTGACCAGTCCTGTAATCGAATCCCTCATCCATGTATTGTGAGGGTCTGTTCGAGTCAAATCGGGGGAAAAAAAAAAAAAATTAATGTAATTAAACGTTTAAATCATTTCGAATGTTCGAATTAACTCAATGACTACTCGTGACTTTTTCTGACACACTTAAACGAATACACTTACATTATAGATTTTTGCAATAATAATAATAAAAGTCAGGCATCATTGAAGGTTAATATTAATAATAATAATAATAAAAATATAAATGGTAAAAGTAAAAATAACCTTGCAAATTCTGCGAGTTGTTTTGGATCGCTAAGATCCAATCCAGGTATTGGCTCTCCCGGTTCTCTTTTGAGATATTGTCCAGATTGTTCCAAATAATCTTCATAATCAGGTTCTCTATCCGGATTACTTGCTTCATCTTAAATAATAGGAGGAAAAAAAAAAAAAATTGAGAATATTTCAAAAGACAGGGAATTCATTCATTCATTCATTCATTCTTCATCTCATAACAAATTAACAATAATTTTAAGCTTTTATTATGGGGGGGGGGGGGGGGGTATTTTTTTTCTTTAAATTTTTGTCGTTATAAAGATAATTTTTTGAAAAAAAAAAAAAAAAAAAACATTGCCTAATATCATCACTAAGACTAAGTTGGTACATTTTTATGTTGCCAGGAGGTTTTTTATCTCGACAAAAAATTTTAAGATAAAAAATGGATTAGTAAAGTATAATATGACGGTTTCAAGAATCAATTTCTATAAAAAAAAAAAAAATACACACACCATATTTAATTGAAATAATTCACGTTAAACTTTTTTTTAAAAAAAAAAAAAAGAGTAAGTAAGGGTGTCGAACAATATTTATTTATATAGTGACACATTTAATTAATTTTTTTTTTTCCCAATTGAATCCAATGGACGCCATCTTGTTTGTTTAAATAAAAAAAAAAACAAAAGAATATGTTGTTATGTACAATAATTAAACATACGTCATAGGAAAAAAATTTGTTTTTTTTTGTTTTTTTCAAATTTAAATTTTTATCGAACGAATATGCCTAATCAAACAGACAGTAAAGTAAAGTAATATTTTTATTAATAATTATAAGAAATAGACAAAGCCACAGGTTCAATCTTATAAAATGGCCTCCATCCGCCATCACTTGGAAGAAGCCATTTGTAAAATATGGCAGCTTCCAATATGAAAGTTTTCAATGGCCGTCTAAAAACGAAAACAAACTTTACCAAGAGCGATTAAGAAATAAAATTTAAGAATTGAAGTTAAATAAAAATAAAAATCGGTGAATGAAAAAACCATGATTATCGATCGATAATGGCGGATGTGCGTCATCCTACGCAAACCCCAGCAAAACCGAGGGGATCAAAGACGCAGAAGTCCCGGCACTTTAACACCTGAGTTGGCGAATAGAATAACAATTTTTTTTTTTTTTTTAAATTTTTTTTCGACTCACCATCGTCCGTACCAGAAGCCCACATTGTAACGGAAAATTCTCCTTCTAATGTTTTAATTTGAACTTGTTTTTGCTCCCATTTTCTAGGGGATCTTACTTCACCTTCGAGTAATTCGTTGCCCCTAAATTTAGCGGTTCTCCTAAGTGGTGTTTTTTTAATACGTCTAGACGGGCCGGGTATGGACTCGACATAATTCATATCTTGTTCTAAAGGTATTTCCTCATAAGTTAAAGGGTCATCGCCGACTTCTACACCACATCCCACTACTTCTTCCGTAGTTTGCAATATTAAATCATCTCTACCTTCGGTAATAGATTGAAGGGACACTATGGGTTGCCCGTCTAAATCTATCGAAGTTTCTACTGTTTCGCACGGTAATTCTACAGGTACACTTTCTATTTCTACTTCTTCCCCTTGAATTTCAAGTTCCTCACATTCCTCGGACATCATCTTGCACACGATTGGAAACACTTTAAACACAAATGATTTAAAGCGCACTCTCCATTGCGCAGCGTTTACAGTTTGTCAAACAATCTAAAGCTTAAAAGTTACTACTGTTGCCAACTTTAATTTTTTTATTTAAAAAAAAAAAAAATGAACTTGGAATTGTAACTTTCCAAAAAAAAAATTTTATGAAAAAATTAAAAATTTTACTCCTTATTTAAATTTAAAAGATTTAATCTTTTTAATAAAATAAATTTAATTAAATTTTTTTGTAACCGTTAAAAGAACTCATAGAATTGCGCAGACGCAGTGATTTATTTTTATCAAAATTAATATCCCGTGGTGTAAATAATCTCTATGATTAGTACTATGCAATCATGGTTGACGAATGTACACGTAAAACTTTAAGTGCAATTCCATTATTAAAAACTAAGGCTGGTCCTCGAGATAAAGATATTTGGGTACAGAGATTAAAAGAAGAATATCAGGCTTTAATTAAGGTCAAATACATTATAAATTTATTCAATAGTTTTTATATTTAACTAGAAACATATGGATCGTTGTAAAGTATGAAAAATCATTCACAAAAAAAAATTTATGATTTCGAATATGTCATCCTAGCAATTAATAATTTCTTTCATTATTTTTTTTAAAATTCTAATATTTTATTAAATATATTTGAGAAATAACATTTAAAATGGCATCTGTGTACAATTTTGCAACAATTAAATATATCCATACTTTTTTACCTATAAGTATTAACTAAGAAATTTTGAAAGTTTTGACATTGAGATTGTATAGTATTGGGTTTTCTAAATTTTAAAATGGGTTTTATAATGAAATAAATCTAAAAATTTTAAATTATTTACAGTATGTAGAAAATAATAAGGCAGCAGATAATGATTGGTTTCGTTTAGAATCAAATAAAGAAGGGACTAAATGGTTTGGTAAATGTTGGCATATACAAGACCTTTTGAAATATGAATTCGATATAGAATTCGATGTGAGTTTTATAAAAGTCACATTTTTTTTTTTTTAAAGTCAATAAACAAAATTGTATTAATTCTTTATGAATTTGATTTTTTTAGATACCTGTTACCTACCCCTCTACAGCACCTGAAATAGCTCTACCTGAATTAGATGGTAAAACTGCTAAAATGTACAGGGGAGGAAAAATATGTTTAACAGAACATTTTAAGCCTCTGTGGGCTAGAAATGTACCTAAATTTGGAATAGCACATGCAATGGCTCTGGGTGTAAGTAATAATTTATTTAACTATTATAGGTGATTAGGTTTTTATTGATTGTATGAATTATAAAAGGTTTATTTTCTTTTACATAAGTTTACTCCATTTTTTTTTTTTTTTTAATCAAAAATTGTTTATTTTATTTAACTACCTTTTGTTTAAAAAAATAAAATAGTAAAAGACCAATTTATATTTATGTAATATAATACCATAATTTTTTAAATTTGATATTTATGATTTATATATATATTATAGATAGAATTTTAAGTTATTAAGTTTTAAAAATTTTTTACAGCTGGGACCTTGGTTGGCTGTAGAAATTCCAGATTTAATCGAAAGAGGAGTAGTTAATTACAAGGAAAAATCATGATGAATGAAATTTTAAAAAAAAAAATTATAATTTTAAAAATAAATAAATATATATATATATTCATAACAAATGTTTACAAACTTTAAATATATTACACATACATTTAATTCGAATGAAATTCAGTTTAAAAAAAACTCGATGACTTCTGGATACGAATAACTCGAGAAAAAATCTCATTAAAAAAATGCAAAATACCAAAAATTTACTGAAAATAAAAAAAATAATTTAAAAATCTGGTAAAATTAAATTCATTATTTAAAATGATAATAATTTCATGGGGTAATAATTGATAAAATTTAAATTTTATCACACTTCAAATGTAATGACATTGTTTTTCTTTTTCGAATGATAAATTTTTTAATATAAATTTTTACAATTTGTACTAATTTTTTTTTTTTTTTAAATAAAAAACATAATATATAAATAAATTTGTTTGAAAAATTTCTAAATTATTCCAACTTTTAATAATCATATATATAAATCTCATCTTTTATTTCAGAAAATGATCATTAACTTTATTTTCATTTTATGTAAAGTAAGTTAAAGTAAACATTCAAATTAATTAAAATAAATATTACAACTTTAAGAAAAACATATCGTAAAAAT